AGGTGTGGAGTTGATATTATACCTTGGATTCATCTCTAGCCAGGTTTCTTGTCTCTCTTGATATGTTGATGTCTGTTGTTTAACCACCTTTCAAAATGAAGTTTTTGTAATTTATTTGAAAGTTTTAATTTGAAAATCTAACAACCATTGATAAAGACAGAATTTTAGTTCTCAATTGTTTTCAATAAGTGATGTTTAATTTAAACTTGCAAAATTTGTTTTCATATAAGCTAACGTTATGTTATATGTATAACCTGAACATGTACGTATATTTGTAGTTGCATAGTATTATTTATGTAGAGATTATGTTTGTGTTTCCTGAAATTATGTAAGATATGCTTTAACACGGTTTGATAGTTTGAAAAGATCAACTGCCATGGTGAATTTGTACTGCAACCAGCAGGGATACAAAGCAATCTTATAACTGTTATAATACAACTGCTTTATAATGCATCTACAATTATAAGAATAAATATCACATCTATGTATATTGTGTATGCATATTTGCTGCGATACCAATGGTCTGATCATAGGGGTTCGTTACAAATGTCTGACATACACATATGCTATACTGACATGGGTCACAGCACACATAAACATATACGGTCTCACTTGAAAGCATCTTCAACCGACAACAAGTGCCTTCAAGTGAAAACAAGCTTCGCCAGACAAAATCTTCAAAAATAATGAATAAAGTAAGCGACATCAGAAGATATGTTGTTAATATGACAATAATACACCTCTGTACCAAATTTCAATTTGATATTTGAAAAATTGACCGAGTTATGATGAATTGAATGTTAACGGTCGCAGCGTGGCACATGTGTGTATTATCATGTAAAGTGAAGAAAGCGTCGCCAGATAATATCGTTAAAATTACTCAATAAAGTAAGCGACATCAGAGGATATGTTATTAGTTCGACTTTTATTGATATATATTCCAAATTTCATCTCGATATTTGAAAAAAAATGATCGAGTTATGATTAATTTATTAATACGATCGGCGGCGTCTCGAATATTAACCTATAATGTAAGCGACATCAGAAGATATGTTATTCATATAACTATGATACACCTTGATATCAAACTTCAGGTGGAAATTTTAATAAATGACCGAGTAATGATGATTTTGATTATTACGATCGACGGCTTGGCATACGTGTGTGAATAGAACTCGATAGATTGTGAAGCGTCTTCAGACAATATCTCTCAAATTAACCGATGAAGTAAGAGACATCAGAAGATATGTTATTCATATAACTATGATACACTTTTACATCAAACTTCAGGTAGATTTGTTGAAAAATGATTGAGTTATCGTGAATTTAATTTTACGATTTTACGAAGCTATACGCCGTGTCACATATGTGTACGTAGGGTAGTATAGGGCTTCGCATAGGTGAACACAGTTAGACCGGTTATATTGTACAGGGTTGCATCTAGGGCGCTGCATTGTGTCAATGACGCAAATATGAAAACATGCCCGCAGAAATAGAAATCATGTGCGGGTAAAATCCCGCAGAAATACGCCTGTGTACGCATTGTGTCAAATAGGGGGCGGGAATAAAGAAATAAAATAAACAAGACAATGTTTCACTAACCGTAATAATGCAGTATTTTGTATTGATCAATCAGTAAATTCGTTGTTGTGGACATCATTGTAATGGTAGGATTCGTAATGGTAGACATTCCGGAACTTCTCGGGCCTTTTTACCGACGTAGAAGGAGAGTTCCGATGAGTCTCGTGTTGACTTATAAAATAACATGGCGAAACGACAGAAGAAATTGTCGTATTTCTTCACAAACTCCACGACTTCCGAGGACTCTGTCGATGTCATTCATGAGAGAGAAAATGTTCCAAACACCCCGGACTCGCCAGCGGTTAACGCTACACAAACTGCTGAGATTGACAGCACGGTAAACGATGCTCAAACGGACGCCCCACCACCGAAGAAAAAACGTCATCATGGCTGAAATATTGATTGGACTAAAAGTCGTCCGTGGCTGCAACTTAACGCTGAAAAACAAATGGCATGTGCATTCTGCATCGATACGGGCAAACGGAACGCATTTGTTACCGGTTGGACGAATTTTCGAACGTCTACACTCGATAGACATGTTGAGCTGCCGGAACATAAACAAGCGTTATTGGACATGAAAGCCAATAAACATTTCCAGCAAGCCACCAAGAACGCGTTCCATAAAAAGTCTGATTCTCTTACTAAAGCCTTGTCAACAGCGTACTGGATGGCAAAGGAAAACGTGGCGTCAATGAAGTTTAGTTCTATGTTGGACTTTATGGACTACCAGGGTGTTGATGTCACTAGCATGAAAGTTGGCGACAATGCTACATATTCCTCACGGGCATCAGTGGAAGAGTTTCAGGTACGTTTTTGTTTTCAATATACTGTACTATGTCTTATCTAGATTCAAAGCAAGTAAGATTTCATTAGGATAAGTGAAATCGGCCCAAGCTTGCTTTTTTTTTCTTCCAATTTTCCCGGGCCGGTGTTTTTCCTGCCTATACATTTGGGGCCGTTATATCGGCCCCATTCCCAATCAAGTTTTTTCTTCATTTTCCCCAATTGTTCCCGCATTGTTAATGAAGTTCCCATAGGTTTCTGCAGAGTGCCCAAAATAGAAATAGAAGAAATAATGTATATTTATATCCAGTCTTCTGATTGGCTGATTGCGTCACTGCCGTCAGTCTAGGTTATTTCCTAACCTTTTTTGCAACCATTTCAATATTTTTCTACTTAGATACTTACATTATCTGACAGTATACTGTATCACAATATCTCAAACACAATAACTAACATTGTCCCAAGCACTAAAACATTTAAGAATTACTTTTAAACCATTAACTTATTAGATGTATGATTAATTAAATTATAATAAATAAATAAATAAAATGCAATGTAAATTCCATGAATTAAAATAACCAGAGTACCAATTAAATACCATGATAGATTATGAAAATGATTGTCACTATTGTCTTTAATTATCTTTTGACAGTACAATCCAGTATTGATAAAGTTATATTCATAATCAAATTTTTTTATTTATTTTTTTCAGGAGTGTATTGCTGAAGTGGTGGAATCTGACTTGTTGGAAAAAGTGAAAGCCAGCCCTTTTATAAGCATTTTGACGGATGAGAGCACTGACATATCCAACACAAAGAAGATGGTGCTTTACATACGACTTGTCGACCAAGATACATTTGTTGCCTCGACACACTTTCTTGGCAACGTCTCGATAGAGGGCTCCTCAGCTACGGCAGAAATTTTGTTTAATTACATTGTTAATTTCCTTGAGTCCAAGAAAATACCTTTGTCCAAAATTATTGGATTTGGTAGCGACGGTGCATCAGTCATGACTGGATCCAAAAGTGGTGTAGCGACAAGGCTACGACAGGTGTGTCCGCATCTTATTAACATTCATTGCATGGCTCATCGCTTCAACCTGTGCACTTCACAAGCATCGCGGAAAATTCCCTACTTGAAGGATTCTTTTGAAAAAACCTTCAAAGATTTGTACTATTTTTTTGAAAAATCTGCAAACAGAGTGGCGGAACTAAAGGAAATCCAAAAGGTATTTGAAAGTCCTCAGTTGAAGGTGAAAGAGGTGCATGAGATTCGATGGCTGGCATTCTATGATGCTTTGTATGCCATTTTCCACAGCTGGAAAGCACTCATCACCTACTTTAAGAAGAACAACAAGACCCAGCAGTGTCAAGATCTTTTAGCAAGCATCATTGATCTGAGGTTCGTTTCATTTTTACACATAATGATGGACATTATCCCACAACTAGCACAGATGAGTATGTTGCTTCAAAAGTCAGATCTGGATGTTGCAGCACTTACACCAGCTCTGGACAACATTCATTCATCACTGAAAAGGGCTGACACCGGGCACACATATTACCAGAGTATCTTACATGAAAAGTTAGTGACATCATCAGCGTATAAAACGGTTTCATTTCAAGGTGTCAAACTACAAATTCATCGGAGTACACCCAAAAAGGCCACTGAGAATGTAAACAAATATCGCCATGAATTTGTGTCAGCACTACAGGATCAAGTTAAGGCAAGATTTCCAAAAGATAGCACAAGTGTTGCCTGCTCATTTGACATTCTTGGATTAAGAAACCTGACCTTCCTAAGTGAGGAGGAACAACTATCATTCGGCAATGAGAAAATTGCAGTACTTTGTGACCACTTTGGAAGTGAGAAGAAGATCCTTGAAGTCATCAGCTCTCCGAAATTTGACCAGAAATTTCTGCCAGCTGAATGGACACTAGCCAAGACTGTCATTAAGCAGGAGCGATACCCCAGAGACAGGATGGCTCAACTATGGCAATTGGTTCACCAACATCATGCAGAGACATTCCCAAATCTACTGAAGCTGGTCCAGATTGCAATTCTGATGCCGTATCAAACAGCAGACTGTGAGAGGGGGTTCAGTAACCAAAACAATACAAAAACATCTTCTAGAAACCGCCTGGAAGGGAAAACACTCAACAGATTAATGCTCATCAATATTGAAGGACCACCATTGAGAGAGTTTGACTTTGGTCGTGCACTGTCCGTTTGGAAATCAAAGAAAGACAGACGTGTTTTCAAACATTGACTTGAAGACCATTATTGAGATAATACTCAAGTTCTGTTAATTAAAACAAACCAGATTTAAAACAAACATTTTGGTGTTTTTTTTTAATAAAACTAAAACACTATCCTTGAAAAATATAAAATCATAAAATTCAGATAAAAACATGACTTTTTATGGAAATATATTTCTTGTAGAACCAACATGAAATAATAGCCCAAATGTCACCAGAGAGCACCTAGATTTCAATTTTTTGGGGGGAGGACCCCCAAACCCCCCTTCCTATCAGGAGGGGGGGGCACCCCCCTCCCGAACCCACCCCCCACTCGTCGCTTCGCTCCTCAGGTGGCTGCCTACGGCAGCCACAGAGTGACCCCCCAAATGTCAGAAAGGAGGGGGGCATGTATACAAATGTCATAAATCCTGAATGCAACCCTGATTATATAACCCCATTATATGTTCGTGTGACTGATCGATTTAATGTTGGTGTTTAAAAAAATCCCTTAGTACCTATAAGTTTAAATGAAGACTACACTAAAATTTAATGGTTATTGTTGTAAAGGTACAGCTGAAAAATACAATCGTTTTAAACTTCTTATGAAATAACTGGCACACAGGTGTAAATATCGGTATTTCATATAATCAAATACATTTTGTCTACGTAAGAATAACTGTTTCTCTGTTCAAACTCATAAAAAAATCAAATGTCAATATTTTTCACATCTTGAATCCTGTCCTGCGGTCAGACTTGTAAGTGTTGTGAAAGCGTAAAAAAGTTCTTCATTTAGCGTAATTGTCATCAGGTAACTAAGTTACGACTTTTGTTTTTAACAGGACCGTGCGTTTCGCGCGAACAAGTTTTCGCCTCCCTGTTTTTTTGGCGATTTCTGCGATTTTAGGTATTGTTAACATACCATTCGTAGATGTTAGAAAGTATGTTTTCTTCCACACATACTTTAGGAACTTGTCAACTTTACGCGCTTTATCAAACGTTGACAAATCGCGCCACACAACTGTGCTCATCTTGAAATGCTGCGCGTGCGCGGCCAATTCATAGTCTCCAGTACCATGCAACGATCTACGTACGCCAGAGTACTGCGATTGTTGAATGGTATCCAAACGCTGAATCAGCTTGGGAACCTTTGATATTTTCCAGTCCCCTAGAAGTTTGATGATGGGATTCAGCTATCCTGGGACATAGTTTCGTGACCAGATTGGAGAAGGCCAGGACTGGATTACTGGACGATGTCCTGTTCTTTGGGAAAGGGGGAGCTACGGCTATATCACTCATGCATAACGATATATTCCAGAAGTTTATGGACACCGATGTCTCCAAAGTTTTCCTGCAGGTTGCGGGAAATGACATCACTGCAATGTCGACACTGGAGGGAATAGTTGGAAACATCGACCAACTGGTCAGACGTATTTTGGAGAAGCCCGACCACCCAACCATCATTATCGGGAGTATCTTTTAAAGGTACCGTCCACAAGGGATGACAGCCACAGACTACGAGGAAATACAGGCAGCACCCCATGGTCCACTTCAGGTCCTTGCGGGGGCTGAAGTGCCTCAAAAGGTCCGACTTTGTTGATGAGGTTCCCTGGACCGTACTATCACTTATGCTTAAACGGCCCTTTTCAGGGCCACCATCTTTCTGAAAAAGTCATGAGAAACTCGAAAATTACGCATCCCCCTCCCACTATATTAGTTATAACATGAGGCCCAGGGGCCTTAATAGCTCACCTGGTATTTTATTTTTCAATTTAAAACCTGCTGAGTACCATTCAGGTTTATCAAAGGAGTACAAGTAACAAAGTTGCATCTTCCATTTATAAATATTCAATTCCCTTTGCCCAAAGATTCTCTAAAACAAGTTTGGTTAGGTTAAAATCCCTTCAACGGTACAGAAGGAGAAGGATCTTTAATGTTTTCCTCTATTTCCCCTAATGGGCCCCACTAATCTGCCCCAAAGAAGGGGAATCCACACACCTCAGTTTAAACAAAATTGATTCTTTTCTCCCTAAGCATGCTTCAGACTGCATTTGGTTTAAATCCCTTCACTTGTATAGTAGGAGAAAAAAAATCCTCTATTTCCCCTATTGGGCCCCGCTCCTATGCCGCCAGAAGGCCCACACCCTCCGTTTATACAAACTTGAGTCTCCTTTGTCCAAAGATGCTCTAGGACAAATTTGGTCAAAATCCTTCAATTGGTTGAGGAGAAGATTTTTAAAGATTTACCTATTTTCCCCTATTTGGCCCCGTCCCTCTGCCCCCAGGGGGACCATACCCTCCGTTCATACAAAACTGAGAACCCTTTGGCCAATGATGCTCCAGACCAAATTTGGTCAAAATCCCTTCATCGGTACAAAAGGAGAAGGATATTTGATGTTTTCCTCTATTTCCCCTAATGGGCCCCACCCATCTGCCCTTAGAAGGAGGCCCACACACCTCAGTTTATACAAAATTGATTCTTTTGTCCCTAATCATGCTTCAGACTGCATTTGGTTTAAATCCCTTCACTTGTATAGTAGGAGAAAAAAAATCCTCTATTTCCCCTATTGGGCCCGCTCCTATGCCGCCAGAAGGCCCACACCCTCCGTTTATACAAACTTGAGTCTCCTTTGTCCAAAGATGCTCTAGGACAAATTTGGCCAAAATCCTTCAATTGGTTGAGGAGAAGAACATTTTTAAAGATTTACCTTTTTTCCCTTATTTAGCCCCGCCCCTCTGTCCCGAGGTGGGGCTATACCGTCTGTTTATACAAAACTGAGAACCCTTTGGCCAATGATGCTCCTGACCAAATTTGGTCAAACTCCTCAGAGCCATTCAGGACAAGTAGCATTTTAAAGGAAAAAGTTGACGGACGACGGATGCTGCACCATGGGATAAGCTCACTTGGCCCTTCGGGCCAGGTGAGCTAATAAAAAGTATATAAAGATAATTAAACACATTGTTAAGTGTATTCTTAATCGGTTACAGTTAAAATCTAAATTGTTCAATAAATACAATAATGTTATTCTTGACACAGCTGATTATAGGGGTATCAATGTTTATATAGCAATATATTCTAACAGTGTTCACCTACATGCCAGAGATGTATAATACATACACGACTATCGATCTAGATCTGTCCATGCGAAGCCCTACCCTACGTACACATATATGTGGCAAGGCGTATAGCTTAATATCTGTACATCGTATGGATTAAATTCACGAAAACTCAATCATTTTTCAACAAATCAAATTAAAATTTGGTATATATAGTTGTATCATAGTCATATGAATAATATATCTCATGATGTCGCTTACTTTATCAATTATTTTAAGAGGTAAAGTCTGAAGACGCTTCTTGATCTGTATAGTTTTCTTAACACACGTGTGCCAAGCCGACGATAGTAAAATAATAAATTCACGATATTTTTACGTCATTTTTTCATATATCTAAGTGAAATTTGATATAGAGGTGTATTATATTCACATTAATAACATATCTTCTGATGTCGCTTACTTAATCGATGAATTTTAGAGATATGTTCTGAAGACATTTTCCTTGTGTTGAGTTCTATTCACACACGTATGCCACGCCACCGATCGTAATAATAATTAATCATAACACGATCATTTTTTTAAATATCGAGCTGAAATTTGGAATATATATCAATAAAAGTCTAACAATAACATATCCTCTGATGTCGCTTACTTTAGCGAGCAATTTTAACGATATTATCTGGTGACGCTTTCTTCACTTTACATGCTATAATAAACACGTGTGCCACGCTGCGACCGTTAAAATTCAATTCATCATAACTCGGTCAATTTGTGGTGAATTTCGGGAGAGTTATCTCCCTTGGACCGTGGACCGTGCCGACACGAGATCTCGTGAGCTACGTGATATCATCGCTGTGAAGCGTTGGCGCGGTCTCTTATACTTCTTGATATCAAACCAGCAACACGTGAGTGAATTTCCTCCACCTTGTCTTTGATTTCAGGAGCTGAGAGCATTTACAACTACTTGTTGTGACGGTGTGTGAATAACACACACCAAATTCACGACAATTGGTGTCATAAGTGAAAAAGAACTCACGCTATTCGCGTTATTTTGACATTTTTTTCCATATATTTTTTCTACCTTGCTGGTCCCCTCTCGCTCGCACGTGCGCTGGCCATTTTGTTGACCAGTGCGCGAATTACGAGTGAGAGATTTTGGGACAGTTCTAGCAGTTTATTATTGTTTATTTAATTATTGATTAGGGGTAATTCAGAGTCGGCGGTGTTTTCACTGCCGGTCTGAAATTTATATTTAATTTAATTTAGTTTACTTGTTAGGTTTTCACGGAACTTCATTCGCCTGTATAGTGGGCCGCCCATATTGGCGGAATACATATGACAGGCGAGACTTGAGTTATCGTTAGTATAGGATATTATTTTTATATTGTAGGGAAATTATTATATGTTTAGTTAGGTTATTATTACATTAGGTTAGAAATTAGTTATTTTAGGAATTAGAAATTATTTTGTAAACTGTAAATCGTAGTTGTAATCGTTGGAATTTTGTACGGGACGGTGGCACGTGTCTACTATAGCACTGTTGATATAAGTCCCTGTACATAATTTTGTAATTGTTTAATTAAGTGTGTTGACTTATTTCTTTCTTGGAACTTTATATTTTGTCATGGCTGTCATAAATATACGGACAGCTACAGAAAATGAGCTGTGCACGTTGGAGGGTTTAGGCCCCGCGACGGCACAGAAAATCTTGAGTATAAGAGATGATGA